AACGAGATGGAATGTTAACAGGTTTTTTTTAGGTAAATAAGAGAATTGAACCTCATTAGGGGTTCATATGAGTAATCAGCAAACCTTTTAGAATAGAAAGCAATTTACAAAGTACTCTTATGGAGACCTGGGTAGTATTAAACATACACTGTAAATAGGTTAAAATGTGACACTGTGTTCTTTAAAAGGCTGAGGTTTGTCTTTTGAATGTTCATAATCTTGATTTACAAACTGATAGATGGGGCAAAACTATTTTTTTTTTGGTATAATATGGATACAAGTCATTCAAAAAGGATCACTATTATAAATACTGTGGATTTTGTTCTCAGGAAATTTGAAAAATTTTGTTTAAAATTTAAAACATCAATAATTTGCATTGTAGGAATGGTTTTAAAACTATAAATGGCATTTAAGAGCTTCAAACTAGCATAGGGACTTCATGAAAAATCTGTATTTGGCATTGTTTTCCAGCTCTGTTGGTATAGACCTAATTATCTGCTCCATAATGGTACAAAAGGGAACAAGGCTGACTAGATTCTTTTGGCCTTACTATTCACACTTTTGGAGTTTCTTCTTTTTGCACAATTTTACAACTTTAAAAGGAATGAGGCTGTATACAGTAACAATTCAGTATCTTGTGCCTAAGTTTTCATTTTCATAGAGTAGGCAGAATGTCAATAATTGCTGAGTCTTATGATGTCTAAATCAGGTCAGACAGACTGTTCCTTTGGTAGCCTTATTCTAATAATAACCTGAAGTCGTTTCTTACATGCTTTAAACTACTGGCCTTGCATTCTTTATTAGGAGGAACAGAATAATTTAAATATGTTTTGTTCAGTCAGCAGAGTTTCAACCTCTTCATATGTTTATTTTCAAAACAAAAACTGAATTAATGTCACAGAGGATGGAATGAGTGAGTCAATATTTTCCTGATGTTTGCTGGCAAGTATCTGCCTCAGAAGTAATGTCCTATAGACTAACTCAGTTGGTGAATGAGATAGGATTGTGTTTCAAAGATATAAAGGGAAAAATTGATATGATTATTCATTTGGTTTGGGAGAACCTGTGCTTTTCCCTTAAAAAACAAAATCCCAAAAGCATCAGTTATTTTTATTAATATTATGGTACTTGAAATACATTAAAATTCAAAGAAATTTACATAAACTATATTTTTAACTGTGCGACTCCCATTTATTAATAACATATCTGATAAGGCAAATTTATATTTTTATTTAGTTTCAAGGGGCAGTTTGGGATTATTGTATATGCTTTGTTATTCATTTTATTTTAATCACTGAATAGTTTTCAACTTTTTCTGGGTTTGTTTTTTTAAAACACACAGAGGATTTTAGGGCTGTAAAACATACTTGGCTTGTTTCCAAAGTAAAAAAAATTATTATTTTTTTAAAGCCAAAGCTCCATCTGCTGTTTTCATTAAAATCTCAAGAATTGTTCACATTGCCAGGAGCAGTTCTTTGAAAACAGTCTGATGTTTAATCAAGCAGTGATATGTGATTTTCAAGGTCATTTTTTGTTAGGACAGAGGATAACTCAGGAAGATTAATTTTCTCAAACAGTGATACCATTTAAAATTGAATAACAATATAAGTAGATTTTATTCTAGAGCTGTAAATATCAAAAATTCATACCATTGTTTTAAGAATTATTTGAGATTAAATTAATATTTATCGGTTTATCTTTTTTTAAAAGTGCATTCTTATGGAATACAATGTTTAAAAAGATATTCCTAGCCTTGGCGCAGTGGCTCACACCTGTAAACTCAGTACTTTAGGAGGCCGAGGCAGGAGGATCACTTGAGGCCAGGAGTTCAAGACCGGCTAGGGCAACAAAGTGAGATATCCCATCTCTGCAAACAAACAAACAATGCTGGGCATGGTAGTACATGCCTGTAGTCCTAGCTGCTCTGGAACCTGAGACCTGAGGTGGGAGGTGGGAGGTGGGAGGATCACCTGAGCCCTGGACGTCAAGTGTGCACCACTACCTTCCAGCCTGGGCAACAGAGTGAGTGCCTGTTTCAAAAAAAAAAAAAAGAAAGTTCCTATTTGACTTTGACTTTAGAAATATTTATTCATATTGCAGGGAAGGAAGGGTGGATTTTCTTTTGCATATTTTGTTTAGTCTAAATAAAAAATTTGTATCTCTTTAATATTTAAGAGGTCAGCTGGGGGATGGATGTCAAGAATCATGATGGATTAGACTATGAAATAACAGTATGAACTTGAAAATAGTTAAAAGTAACAATAACAATATGAACTCTAAGGCTGGGCGTGACGGCTCATGCCTGGAATCCCAGCACTTTGGAAGGCCAAGGAGGGTGGATCACCTGAGGTCAGGAGTTCAAGACCAGCCTAACCAACATGGCAAACCTTGTCTCCACTAAAAACACAGAAAATTAGTGGGGCGTGGTGGTGCATGCCTGTAATTCCAGTTACTTGGGAGGCTGAGGCGGAATCAAGAATTTCTTGAACCTGGGAAGCAGAGGTTGCAGTGAGCTGAGATCGTGCCATTGTACACCATCTTGGGCAACAAGAGTAAAACTCTGTCTCAAAAAATAAATGAATAAACAAATGAACTTGATTAAAGTAGGACTCCAAATCATAGTTCTGAAGTCTCTGTAGCTTTTCATTATCTGGATAAAAATTTATATACCTCACTGTGGCATAACAGGATCCATCACCTGGCTCCTGACTTTTTCTCCAGCTTCTTCCCTGATTCTTCACCCACACTCAATTCTTCCAGAGTTTCCAAACATGCCATAGCCTCTCTAGCTAGCCTGCCTATTGTCCATTTTGCCTGGCCACTGGGCTGAATTCTTCTCTTCTACCCTTCCTTCCACTCCCAGTTAGCTGGACACATTTTCTCTGTTCTCCTATCACATACTTATTTTTGTTTTTCATTTCTGTTACTCTATTTTTCCCATTACATGGAAATTTTTTTGACTTAGAACTAGAACTATGATTTACTCCTCTTTGTATACTCAGGATGTAGCATGCCGTAGGTGCTCCCTAGTGATATGGGAATGAACAAGTAGAACCCATGTTCTTTACTGTTCCAACAGAAAACTCTGTAGTCCTTCCTGTCCACCAGGGAGTGCCGAGCAAAGAATGCCCTTTTGAAAAATCAAAGCTGTCAGATAATTGCAGGGCACTATGACCTGTAGAGATTTAATATAAGTTGGGATTGCCTATTTCCATCTTTGAAGTTAAATTAGAGCATTATTCCAAGCCAATGAGGACTTCTCTGACCCCTGGGAATAGTTGTATAGTTATGGTATCTCTCCTGATCTTTTACGATTGAAAACCTGAGATTTTTTTTCTGTACTTTGGTGGCTCTCACAGTTCCAATTGGAGTTCCAATAGGAATTGTTTTTTTTAAATATTTTTTTACAAATTAGTTTTTTGAGTCCATATTCTACTTATTGAATTGTGTTGAATTGTGTTAAATTCATACATAACATTTGAAACACTTTGTTCTAAATTTTTAAACCAGGAAACCTCAACCAGAAAAGCTCAAGCCAAAAGCCAATCATCTAACCAAATGTAATTTCACTTTGGGAACCTAAATATGTTGTAGAGGCAGCCATCTTTATTCCTATTAAAATGAATGCATGACGTTCTTTTTTTTTTTCTTTTTTAAAAAATATTCATAGCATGCATTCCAATTACTTTAGCTCACAAAAGGATCTTTACTTCCCAACTTCTATAAAACCACATACTTGTCACCTGTGATTTCATCCAATAGGTGATGCATTCAGGGAAATTAGGGTCCATGTTTTAGTCTTCTCGTGTTTTTTTCTCAGAATCTAGGCTGGTGCTATTTAATTAGGGGGTGCTCAATGAATATACACTGACTGACTGAATGCATCTTTACGTGGGGACTCTCTGGACCTCCTGTAGCTCACACCTGTTCCTTTCCCAGTCCCTTGGCCTTCATTGAGCTTGCTTCACAGCCATATAGTCCTAGTATACTGAACCTAATCCCTCCCCAAATTCTCCTTGCTGCTACTTCCTCTAGTCTCTAGAGTCACTTCTATGCTGCTGCTTCAAGAGTTGTCTTCTTCCCAAATCCTCCACAGGACATCAAGCTTTATTGTTTTCTGTCTCTATTCTGTAGTAAAGGAAAGGTAGAAATTTCAGATAAAGCAATTTGATATGTTTAATAAGAAACTTAATTGTGTACATGTGTAGACTGAAATTTTCAAGGTAAAGCAAAGCTTGTAAGTTTTTTTTCCAGTTTGGATTTCTTAATTACCTTTTTTATTTTTTTCATTATCTAGCAGGTTTTCTACTGACTAGATCGCAAAGCAACCAGTGTTGTTTTGTTATTGGAATTGGTAAATTGATCTTAGTTCAGTTCAACCAACATTTCTTGAATATGGTTTTTTCTACAAAAACCATAGGTATTATGGAAAATTCCTAAGTGAACAAGGTATAGAAGCTTGCATTCTAAGGAAGGAAGGGCTAACATATAGCCAAATAATTATAGTGTTTTTCAAATATGGGTAAGTGTGTAATAAGAGAGGCATTCAGAGAACTCTCTATGAGAAAGACAAGAACGTGTAGTAGGTTTGGAACTGGAAAATCAGGGAATCCTTTATAATAAAGGACTTGACCTTGAAGGAGGAAGCCAGAAAGAACAATGTGGTTGTAGCTTTATTTATTTGTTTTCAAGTTATTATTTTAGTAAAATTTTTCCTAAAGATCAATCTTTTTATTTATAAAGAGGAATGTTAGAAGACTACCAGGTAATTACCCCACTATTATTTACTATGTAATTGATACATTGGTTGTTTCTTTATTAATAATGATGCCTTCTTGTATTAGTTTTTGACATGGCCCTTTAAATTAGAATAATGTGGTAAGAGGTAAACATGTTTAATACAAAATGAAATAACAACAATGAAGGATGGCTGCTTCTATAAACTATGTCATATTTCTAATGCTATTTTAATGTATGCTTTATTTATCTATGATTTTTAGGCAGCTTGGATCTTGAAAGCAAGAGCACTAACAGAAATGGTATACGTAGATGAAATTGATGTAGATCAGGAAGGAATTGCAGAAATGATGCTGGATGAAAATGCTATTGCTCAAGTTCCACGTAAGTATTGGGCTTTCAGTTAAGTTAATGAAATGCTATTAAGAGGAAGAATACTATGTATAAGAGGAATATATATATACCCATATATTTTTACACTTTATATATATAAACATTATATATGTGAAAGAAAAATGAAGAAAAAAAATTACTTCAAGTAAATGGTTTCTGTTCTGCCTTATGGTACAAAGGCTTTTCCCTCTACAATTCAGTTATCTTAAACTTAAGGTATGAGATTGATGTATAACAATTTTTCAATATGAGCTATATTATGCATTTTAGAAATAATTTATATCTATGTTCAACTGCTGATCATATGGAAAAAATTTATAAAAATGCATTCTATTTGAACTACTTGTCTAATATATCAGAATATTGTTTATCTGAGAAGTACCCAAACAACAGGGGTATTCTAAGAGGACTTAAAAAAGATCATTCGGCTGCGTACGGTGGCTCACGCCTGTAATCCCAGTACTTTGGGAGGCCGAAGCAGGTGGATCATGAGGTCAGGAGATCGAGACCATCCTGGCCAACATGGTGAAACCCCATTTTTACAAAAAATACAAAATTTAGCTGGGCATGGTGGCATGGCGCCTGTATTCCCAGCTACTCAGGGGGATGAGACAGGAAAATTGCTTGAACCTGGGAGGTGGAGGTTGCAGTGAGCTGAGATCATACCACTGTACTCCAGCCTGGCAAAAGAACAAGACTCTGTCTCAAAAAAAAAAAAAAAAAAAAAGATCATTCAAAAACATCACTTTATTGTTATAATCAAACATGATTTGCTCTAAGTCATGATATGAGGTGATGAGGTGATATGCTGGTCTGTGAGTGTCTGTTTGGATTGTAACAGAGGTGCAGTCCCAGCTTGCAGATGTGGTGGTACAAATGGTATTGGATAATGGCTGGTCTGAGTGTGGTGGTGTTTACAACTAATTGATCACAATCTGTTACAGATTTCTTTGTTCCTTCTCCACTCCCATTGCTTCACTTGACTAGCCTTAAAAAAAAATGGTATTGGATGATAACCAGGACATATGGTGGTCTTGCTGGTAATTTATTAGTTGTTATAGTTCTCAGTCATTTGTATGTTTTGGAAGGTAATAGCTGTTTAAAACCTTCAGATAGAAATTGAGAAAAAAATACATATTTTCATGTAAAAATGTCTTTCTTTCCCATTATTTTGTTCTTTTAGAGTTAAAATATCTAAATTCTAGATATAGTGGGTAAATTGTCTTTTATTGAGAGAAGTTCATATGAGAAATAGTTGAACTATGAGGATAGAACCATTGTTTTGAACTTTGGAGCCTGTTTATCTTGAGTTTAAATCCCAGCCCTACCAATGGGTTGACTTGTTTCCTTAGTTCTGTGAATCTTTGTTAAATGGGTTAATACTACCTACTTTACAGACTTAGTGTGAAGATTAAATGTGATAACATAAGTAACATGATAGGTACTTGTTAAATATTAGTCTAAAACACATTTCCCTAAAATATATTTCTTGCTATTAATGTCTTTTTCACCAGGCCAGCACAATTCTGAAAATTGTATTAGCTTACAGCTTTTACAGATTAATAAATCATATATCAATTGAATTAGCCATCTTGTCTCCTAGGCCCTGGAACATCTTTGAAACTTCCTGGAACTAATCAGACAGGAGGGCCTAGTCAGGCTGTTAGGTATGTACTTCTGCTTCATACCCTCTACCACTAAATATTGATCAGACTGTATGAGAGTCTTTCCTCAAGATCTTCTTTTTATTATAACAATTTATAATCTTCGCAGGCCAATCACACAAGCTGGAAGACCCATTACAGGTTTCCTCAGGCCCAGCACACAGAGTGGAAGGCCAGGCACTATGGAACAGGCCATCAGAACACCCAGAACCGCCTACACAGCCCGTCCTATCACCAGCTCCTCCGGAAGATTTGTCAGGCTGGGAACGGTAAATTCTGTCAGCTTTCCCATAGCCTTGTATTACTTTGGTATTACCAAAGTAGCTTTATATTATGGCACATTATTTTCTAATGATGTTGTAGTGGAGAATTATATGGAGGATGTTTGAAGGTGACTTTTTAATTTATGTTGCCTTTATAATTTTTATGCCCATTAAACTTGTTTACGTTTCAAGAGAATGTTTCAGATCTCTTGTATTGTTTTTCCTCTGTAGGCTTCCATGCTCACAAGTCCTGATGGGCCATTTATAAATTTATCTAGACTGAATCTAACAAAATATTCCCAGAAACCTAAGTTGGCAAAGGTATGTACTTAAAATGATTTTGAGTCATAAAGTAATATTACATGTATGATGATAATGACAAATTAGAAAATGGATAAAAACTTGTGAAGGACAGGCCATGTCTTTACTGAAGTGGAAATGTTTAATATGTAAAATTTCTCTTAGTCTTTGAGTTAATTGCGTTAAGGAAAGTCAATCAGAAATAAAGCACATATACCATTATTATAGGAAATTCTTTTCCTTTGATAAAGAGAAGTAATTTATAACAAAGAAAGCAGATGCAGCATCATCTTTGTAGAATGAAGCTTTAGTAGTCATCGGTATATGTATGTATTTTTTTTTCTTTTTTAGCTTGGACTATTCTCAGAGAAATAATTTTCTATCCTTGTAGGTTTTTAGGACTGTCAAAGGATGATAAAAATAATGTACTCCTAATTAGTAATTAATCAGGCATCTCAATAAGGATTACTCAAGCCACATAGTGGCATGCCAACTACGTTAGTAATTATCACTACTCAAAGATTAAATGTTCTTTTAAAGTAAAGAGAAAATGAGAGGCAGAGGGAGAGGGAGAGGAGTATAGTGAGGGGGAAGGAGAGAAAGAGAAAGATAAAAATGAAGAAAGGTGTCCATGACCTTTTCAGTATATAAACCTTGGGAGTGAGCTTGGAATAATTCAGAGACAGGAGCCCTTATCTTCTGGAAACCGGTTTAAACCTAGCTCAGGTTTTTAGCTGAAATCTCTGAGCATAAGTATTGAGCTCATTCCTAATCTCAGTTCTAATGGTATTTAACATACGTGTTTGCTAAATATGAAACACACTAGAGAAAATTAAAATGGACACTAGCTGTACAGACTTAAGTTTAAGTCTAAAAAACAGATGCCATTTGGTAGACAGGGAATCAGACTGTAATAATGCTGTGACTTTTTTCTTAAATTCTTGTTTGGCAGCAATCCAGTTGTCTTCATTTGGAAAAATTGTAAAGCTATGCTTACTTCCCTTTCTTTTATGAGCGTGGAGTATTAAAAGCAACTCATATGGAATATCTGGCTCCCTACCCTTTCAGGCCACTCACTTGAAGGGACTGTCTGGCTAGTTGATACCATTGCTATTTTTTGACCAAGAGAATCAGTGAGTGGAAGCATTTTTCTCAATTAAATTAAGATGCATCCAGGACAGACCTGGTCTGTTACTAGATTTAGCCTGAACTAGATTTTATGCTTTTTAGTATGTTGTAGAAATAATGCCAGGTTTTTCTGCCTTTGGCCCCCAGCTTGCCTTGACCCACTAGGACTCATTTTTAATATAGGCATATGGCTTGGGGTATCTAGGGTGACTCTGTGACACTGTCTTTGATGCTGTAACATCCTTTCCATGGCAGTGGTAGCACCAATTGCACTCTTAACTTTTGTTTCTTTATAACAGAACAAACAGAAGCATTGTTATAGGTTTTATTTTATTTTTTTAAATTTTTTTTAAGAAAGGCCTTGTTTTGATTTTTTTTTTTAATTAGTTGCCTCCAAGTTTTCTTTGTTAATAACCTTGACCTCTTCCAGGGATGCTAGCCTCTTTGCAAGTGTAACATGATGGTATTATGGAAAAAGGTAGTGCCACTAAGAGTAAATGCTTATTTGTTTAGAGCAGTTGAGTGAAATATTAGAAATAATTGTTTTCAGCCCTGGCTGTACATGAGAGTTATCTGAGGGCTTTAAAAAATGTAACATCAGGGCTTTGCCATCCCCACAACTTTGATTTAATTTAAGTGGTCTGATTGCGCCCCACCACTAGGTGATTCCAGTGTCCAGCTTGGCTGAGTAGCACCCTGTTAAAGAAACCTGAATATTCTGAATCATAGAGTTACTATAAATACCATATAAGGAGAATTAGCTTTAAAAATTAAGCAAAAAACATCCTGCTTTACCCATATATTCTACTTTGTTTCAGTAGAAACTTCCAGATTTTTTTGTCTAAATTGTCATTATTAATATTATAATCACTGTATAATACATGTAGAGAATATATAGAATTGGCTGTCTCTGTTTTATGACAATCCTGAAGTTGGTCTTTAAGAAATAAACTTTTCATTTGTTTTTCTAATAAAATATGTAATATGAAAAAAATGGTTAATTCCTTGAGCAATCCAGTTTGTATTCTGTTAAAATCAGAATCAGTTGTAAATAGTAATATTTTAAAAGGAGTGATTGTAACAAAAGATGGATAGACCCTTCTATCTATCCAGGGCTTTAGAGTGCTTTTGTTAACATAAAATTTAAAAAAAAATGAAATATATTTTTGGTACTTTTTTCTTCACAGGCTTTGTTTGAGTATATCTTTCATCATGAAAATGATGTTAAGACTGTAAGTTTTGAATTCATGCTATTTCCTTTTATTGTAATTTTTCTGACTTTGAGAGGTTAGATTCTGAAATATTCTATTTGTGACCTTATAAACAATGAAATTATTAAAGATTGGAGAATTATTAATACTTTAAAATCCACTCTTAGTTTCAGTGGGAAAATGTGTATAAATATAGAAGTGATAAGAACTATGCCTGCTTTATAGAGTATGTAGCTCTCCAATAAATCGGAAGATACAGGTAATTGAGAATATGTCATAATATGCTTGTGTTAAAATTATAGTTTTTATGCTAATGATATTGCTGATCCATTTATTTCTTTAGTCCATATAGTATATTATAGGTTTACTAACACATGTATTTCTGTTATTTTTGTGGTGTGCCCTTTTCCTCTATCTTTGGCATTTTGTGATCAAAGATTTAAAACATACAAAAGTAGAGAGAATCATCTTCGTAGCCTGTTAACAGAGAGTTTTAAAGTTATAGGCATATGACTTCTCAAATTGCTTTGATTTTTGCATGCTTATATGCAAATGAGCATATAACCATACAACTTTGGTCAAATCAAATGTAGTGCATTCTGCAGTGTCTGATTGTATCTTTTCTCATTTTCATATTAGTTCCACGAAAAAGGCTTTATATCCATATATTAAGCATTCAGGAAAATAAAAATGTTTTCCTTAATTGTGTTTTATTTTTTCCTTTTTTTTTTGAGACAGGGTCTCACTCTGTCACCCAGACTGGAATGCAGTGGCATTATCACAGCTCACTGCAGCCTTGACTTCTCAGGCTCAGGCGATCTTCCCATCTCAGCCTCCCAAGTAGTTGGGACTACAGGCATGTGGCACCATGCCCAGCTAATTTTTAAAAAATTAGTTTTAGAGATATGCTCTCCCTGTGTTGCCCAGGCTGGTCTTGAACTCCTGACCTTAAGTGATCCTCCAGCCTCAGCCTCCCAGAGTGCTAGAATTACAGGTGTGAACCATCACAGCCATCCCCTTAATTATGTTTTCTGTATGTCAACTGCTATGCTATACACTAAGAGAACTAATGATACTTTTCCTGCCTCTACAAGCCATGTAAGTCTAGCTGAAGAAGTAAAATGGACATAAATGAAATAATTAAAGAAGTCATTGTCAAAATGTGAAGTTGTTACCAAGTGGGGAAAAACTCAGAGGGGATGATATTAGTAAAGATCCATAAAATAAGTAGGATGTATGGAAAGGAGGAAAAAGAAATGTAAAGAAAGGGCAAAAGCAAGAGCAGGATATGGAATGGTCAATAAATAGGCCTTATCCTAGAAAATGGGAGCACCACAGAGACATATTAAAGAAGGAAGTGACAGAACTCAATGATAGATTTGATATTGGGGCAAAGGAAAGAGAGACAGGTTAAATCTGCCTCCTAAAGATGCTGTGAGAAGAAGAATAGTTTTACCGGCAGAAATGGGATAATTAGGGAAGGAAGTCAGTTTGTATAGAAGCTGACTAAGTGACTTGAAGGCATTTTGAGTTTGAAATGACAAAAGGCTATCTAAGTGGACGTACCATTGCATGTGTTGGGAGATGTGACATTGAAATGTGGGGGACAGCCTGGGCCACATATACAAATGTGGTATTCATAGATGTGGTTATGTAAGGAAAAGAAACAATGAGGGTTGGGACAACTGAGAAACCATGCACACTTTTGTAAATAGAAGCCAGCCATTTTAACTTCATGAAAAGCTGGTCAGAGGCTCTCAGTGTAATTATATATAAAATTGTATGGTCAAACTGTATTTAAAAAGCATTAGAATGCTAGTCCATTTCCTAAATTAGTAAATCTCAAGTTACTAGAGTATCATAAACTGATACTATTGATATTTGGAAGATTAATAAATATCAGAGACATCTATTCTTTCATCATGTGTAATATATTTGAACCACTACAATGTACCAGGGACTGTTCCAGCCCTGAGATCACAGAGTGAAACAGGCAAAGTCTCCATTCTTTTAGAGATAATATTCTGGTTAGGCAAGGAATAGAAAAAAATAAATTTTAAAATGTATGAAGTCTCATGGGCTAATAAGTACTGTAACAACAAAGAAGCAGGAAAGCAGGTAAGGTAATAAATAATGACATGGGGGAGGATGCTATTTTGGATGGAGTGGAGAGTGATCAGTGAAGTCGCTCTGAGCAGAAAACATGTGGCTCAGTGGCTGAATCCCAGAACTTTGGGAGGCTGAGGTAGGAGATCACTTAAGCCCAGGAGTTTGAGACCAACCTAGGCAATGTGTGGAAACCCTGTCTCTACAAGAACTACAAAAATTAGCCAGGCATGGTAGGACGTGCTTGTAGTCCCAACTACCCTAGAGTTTAGAGCTGTAGTCCCAGCCACTCTGGGAGGATCACCTGAACCCAGGGAGGGCGAGGCTTCAGTGAGCCCTGATCATACCACTGTACACCAGCCTGGGTGACAGAGTGAGACTGTCAAAAAAAAAAAAAAAAAAAAAAAAAAAAAGAAAGGAAAAAAATAAAGAAACATTTTAACAGGCACCCAAATGAAGGGGGACAGGACTCATGTCATTATGTGTAGGAAAAGTATTTCTGAAGAGCTTTAACTGTAAAGGCCCTGAGTAGAAGCATGCTTGGATTGTTTAAGGAACAGCAAGAAGGCCAGTGTGGCTGAGTGAGGCCTGTGAGGGGGAAGAGTCGTAGGTGGTAAGTTCAGAAGCTAGACAGATCATAAGTCATTTGTAGGTCATGGTGACAATGTTTTTACTAATAGATTCATCTTGAGGATGTAATTTTGCATCTTGGAATTTACCCACTGTTGTTGAGGAATAAAAAAATCACACTGAAAAAAATGTAAGACTTATTCCCTGCTCTACTGCACTTATATTCTAAAGATTCTGAGGACTAGCATCATAGTTCTTTGTGTATATGGACCTTAAAAAATTTGATTTTAAACAGATAGAGTAGTAACATTTAAACTTTTTATTTTAAGCAGGAAAATCTTTCTCTTCAAGTGAAATCTTATCTACACCCTAATATATAAAACAGACAAAAGTTGAGCTACTTGAATTATAGCAGGGCTAGCAGACTTAGAACATATCCTTCGGGCCTCCTCCTTGCTCCTCCTGCCTTGTGATCTTCTGCCCCTCAAATATTAGGGATGTTGGGTAGTTCCTATATTAGGCTCTGTTTCTAAATTACCTGGGGAATTATTAAATAAGGACTTCTGGACCTGTGCTAGACTTCCTGAGTCAGAATCCTCAAGGGTACATCTGTCGAATCTGTTGTTAATAAAAGCTCTGCAGGCAATGCTAATTTTCAGGCAGGACTGGAAAATACTGCTGTAGAATACAGTAGTTTAAAAACCAATGGTTAATAGAAGGCTGTAATGCCAGGCGTTCCCGTGTAGTACAATAGAGCTGGGGAATATTAGCAGAACTCAAAAACCAGAGCTCCCTATAACAAAACAAGAGGAGGTGTGTTGCCCGTCTGAGTGAAAGAAGTCAGCAAATGAAGAGAAAAGAGACAACAAACACAACTCAAATATATCTCATTAACAAGGAGGTGGTAGTAAAAACTATTGAGAACTGGAGTCCCCATTTATAAATTAGCTATTTTTATTCTTGGTAATAGTGACTCTCTTAAAACAGCAAAATTGAAACAAGCAATATTGAAAACAATTATTGACTCTTTTTGAAATCCATCTTTATAATTCATTAATGACACGAGCAAATTTGTCTAGGGACTTTATTTTAGATATTTAGTCAATGAAGAATTGAAAAAATTTAAACTAGCAAACAATAGGGTATTTCATAAATTTGGATTTGTGAAACAAAGAAAAAAGATTTATTGATGCATTTGTGTAATCTATCTAGTGGACAGAAACGAAATCAGAAGTAAAAGGGCAATAGTAGGGGGAATTATGTACATGAAGCACGATTTTGGAATATTGGTATTTATCATATATTACAAAAACTGATCTTGGCCAGGTATGGTGGCTCAGGCCTGTAATCACAGCACTTTGGGAGGCCAAGGAGGGTGTATCACCTGAGGTCAGGAGTTCAAGAACAGCCCGGCCAATGTGGTGAAGCCCCATCTCTACTAAAAATACAGAAATTAGTTGGGCATGGTGGCGGGCCCCTGTAATCCCAGCTACTCTGGAGGCTGAGGCAGGAGAATCACTTCAACCTGGGAGGCGGAGCTTACAGTGAGCCAAGATCATGGCATTGCACTCCAGCCTGGGTGACAAGAGCAAAACTCCATCTCAAAAAAAAAAAAAAAAAAAAAAGAAAAAAAAAATTAAAAAAAAAAAAAACAGAAAAAAAAAAAAAAAAAAAAAAAAAATCCACTCAACCTTTAAAAAAAAAAAAAAAAAAAAAAAAAAAGCTGATCTTAATTTTTGAAAAATTTTTGTGAAAATAGAAATGACCCCAAACCAGAAAATTTATATTAGAGAAAATACTGGTGAATAAGCACATTAGAGGTATACTTTCTTAATAACAACAAAAATGTAAAATAAAGAGGCTTTGGACTTTTGAGTTTTATATTTATGAAATTAGAAAAAAATTCTGGGGGAAAGTACAATAGTTATTATACATTATAGGTGATATTACGCATGGTACCACAATTTGGAAAACAATATAATAATATAGAGCAGATAGCCATAAAGATATTTCCTCAATTTGTTTCTGTAATTTTACTTCTCAGGAGATTGCAGGGAAAAGTAAAGTGCTGTATTTGCAATGATGTTCGTTGTAGCTTTAGATATAGTGGCAAAAATGCTGGGAAAACAACCTAAATGTTTAACAATAGGGGATGAGTTTGGTAAGTTACAATAAATAGCATGATGGAATCTTATGTAGCCATTAAAAACCATAATTATAAACACTAGGCAGAAACATGGAAATGTTTATTTTATAATGTTAAACCAAAAGCATACCAATTACTATGTTAAATAGAAATATTACTTTAAAAATATGTATTTATGACATACTAGAAGGTATCACTTAAACTTGAAAATGATAGTATTTTGAGGTTAAGATGTATTCATTCCACAAGTATTTGTTGATTGCCTGTGTTGTGCCTCATGATACTAATGGAGATTAAGTCTAATTTTACCTTTGTTTTCAAATTTTTCAACAATAATGTTATAGCACCTTTACATTTGTAAATTGAATTATAAATTAGGGGCAACAATATTAAAATGCTGCCAATTTGTACTCTGCTTATTTTCATCTGCTTACCTCCAATGTACATACATATTTTTGTAGAACATAAAATGGAGCAATTTGTTTTGTTCTTTCTTTATTTATTTATTTATTTTTGAGTTGGAGTCTCGTTCTGTAGCCCAGGCTAGAGTGCAATGGCATGATCTCGGCATGCTGAAATCTCCACTTCCCGGGTGCAAGTGATTCTCCTGCCTCAGCCTTCTGAGCAGCTGGGATTACAGGCACCTGCCACTACACCTGGCTAATTTTTGTATTTTTAGTAGAGACGGGGTTTCACCATGTTACTCAGGCTGGTCTCGAACTCCTAACCTCAGGTGATCTGCCTGCCTTAGCCTCCCAAAGTATTGGGATTACAGGTGTGAGCCACCATGCCCACTGTTTTGTTCTTATTTAGTGAAAAACACAAATTGTTCCTTTGCTTTCCATTTTTTTTTTTTACTAATTATCATATATTGTTATATTAGTTGATTAGTTTTTCTTTAAACAATAATGATTGAGTTATATATATTGGTACTTTGATGGGTACTAGGGGTGCTGAGCTGGACAGAGGCCCTGTTCCGTTTCTCACTCTGATAAGGTCTTGCTACATTATAGTGCTGTTGTGGATCAGATTGTTCCATTAAAATGTCACTTTTGCTTTTACCAGAAGTGCTATTTTCTGAATGGATGAAGGATTTGGATAATGAGTACAAAGCATGCATTTTTATATCTTACATATATTTTGTAACTTTTGCTGGAAAAAGAAAAAAGGAATTCTGTTTATTTAACTTGTTAAGAAATCAGAGGTGTTTTTATATTTAGATACCTTGGGTGGTCTCCAAATTTCTCTTTAAATAAATTATTTCACACAAATATAGAGAATATTATAGACAAATATTATAGACAAATTGAAATGGTGTTTAAATATTAAGAAAGTATAAAATTGATTCATCCAAGGAAAGCTATTTTACTGTCTTTGAGCTTTTAGTGTTTTTCTCATTTTGCAGGTGGAGGTCAGTATCGACAAAACTCAAGTGGTATATGGGCTAGTGATTCTGTATTTGTCTACAGACAAATAAGAATACTGTAGAGACTGAGAATGCTGTGAAGTGGTATTTAAGTGTTAGGAAAAAGTAATCTATGGAAAATTCTTCCTTTCAGTATTTAATAACACTCTTTCCCCACCTTTCCCTTTTTGGACAACATTGATGGCATTGACAAAACTAAAGTGGGACGTGGGTTGGTGATTCTGCAATCTTTGTTTCCATATGCTCTTTAATTTCATCATCCTGAAGTTGGTACAACTGTAACAATAGTGAAAGGATGACTTTTTAAAAACTTAGATCTGCCAAAATTCCTTCTGCTTTTGGACTTTTACAAACTTATTGCTTTAAAAAACGACATTCTGAGCTTTTATTAATATCTAGATATTGGTTTTACTAAATCATCCAAAGATTATTAAAGTGTTATTTATGTTAAAATTTGGGAACAATTAAAGAAATATAGATCTTCTGTCACCACTTAAATGTTTTTAAGGTTAACAGCTTTTAATTATGAACCTTATTACTGTGACAGTTTTGTTTGGTTCTTAAGGTGTTGTCAACAGAGGTCAGAAACAAAGATTATAATTAATTCAGTCAACAGATAGTTCTTGAGTACCTCTTCTGTGCACAGCAATATTCCAGAACAACAGCAGAGATGTAAAAGAGGATTATCTGTCATCAGGGAGTTTGCCAGCCACTTAAAATTGTCACAAATGTGCCAAGCATGGTGGCTTACACCTGTAATCCTATCACTTTGGGAGGCTGAGGTGGGCAGATCAACTGGAGGCCAAGAGTTCGAGACTAGCCTATCCAACATAGGGCAAAACCCTGTCTCTACTAAAAATACAAAAAATAAGTTAGGCATGGTGGCACACACCTGTAATCCCAGCTACTCAGGAGGCTGAGGCATGAAAATTGCTTGAGTCTGGTAGGTGGAGGAGCCGAGCGAGACTGTGCCACTGTCTCCCATCTAGCCTGGGCAACAGAGCAAGACTGTATCAAAAAACAAAGGAAAGAAATTGTCACAAATGTTTTTCTCTAGTGCAGTGAGGACGGAAAAATCAAATTCTGTCAAAATATTTAAAGAGGTTTATTCTGAGTCAATATAAGTGACTTTGGTCTAGGGACACAGTCTCAAAAGGTCCTGAGAAAGTTCACCCAAGGCAATTGGGTTATAGTTTGGTTTTATACATTTCAGGAAAGTACGGGAATTGCAGGTAAAATAATAAAGCAATACATGGAAGGTATGTATTGATTGGGCCTGAAAATTCTGTACATCTTGAAGCCATGGCTTGCAAGTCATTGGTGGGTTTTAGGGATTCTTTATTTGGCAATTGGTTGAAAGAGGTAATCTTTGTCTAAAGACTTGAAGTCAGTACATAGGGATGTTTAAGATCAGGGAGTGTCTGCCATCTGTCATGTGATGCTATAATAGAGTCAGGTTAGAAAGTAAGCCACATTATACCAGGTTAGTTTAAAAAAACTGTTTAATGAGATTTTATGGTTTTTAGAGTATGACTCTCCAAGCCTTCTTAGAAAGGATTTGGGGCAGGAGAAAAAAAGGTCAGAGTTCAGTCCTCAGCAGCCTGAGTCTTCATCATTATAATTTTTTTGCCATTTTTATTCTGTATCAATAATTTATATTAATATCCTTAATTGGATTAGCACAAACATATGGGTTCTCCATAGGATGACTTGTTTTAGGACCAACTATGCAAGCAAAACCAGCAGCCTGTAAGAAGCATTAAATCTAACCTTGAATAGTTAGAATACATAAAAAATTTTTGAATGACATATTTTTCTGAAAAATAGAAGATCCATTTATACTGAGCATGAGAACGACAATGATCTGTTTGCTGGAAAAGGTCTTTATAAAGATGAAGTTAAAATTAAAATGTTTATATATTTACCAGGTATGCCTGAATTGAGCTGGTTGGAAATACATTTTTCTAGTATGTCTGAAAATAATGCTAATCAAAGTTATACTTTTCTCCCCATTTTTTTTTTTGTTTTGTTTTCATTTTTATTTCTGGCTGGGGGCAGGGTGATGGGGGAGAAAAATAGCATATGAAAGTAGTGTGTGGCTTGTTTTTAATTTTCATAGCTTTCAAGTAGAGATGCTGATTTTTCAAGTCCATTAGAGGCTCAGCATGGTGTTACCATTTCTTTATAAGTAGTTTGCATATTTAGAGATCTCCCCTGGAGCAAGAAAAGATGGGGAACAAAAGGAAAAATAATTAATTTTACAGTAAGGGATTTAAGGAACTCTTCTCGCATTCATTTCAGAAAAGAGTTGATATTAAGACGAGGACAGTAATCTGGGATGTTTTTTGAGATAATAGAACTGAAAATCTAAGAGTTACTTTAAGTGAGCTCTTGGATATCGTGATTATGTTAACATTGGCTAAAGAATAAAAATTTCCAGCCACGAAAGAAAAATAGTAAGCATTATAAAAAATCAGAATTCTTTCTTAACTAGTAGCTCCAGCTTCTGTTAATCACGTCTTTATCTGAGCTTCAAATTTCCGTAAAGACTGATTTGCTTTCCCCTTTGTAAAAAATGGTTTCTACTTCCTCTGTATAAAATCCTAATTCTTATTTCGTCATCTCTTGTCTAATCTTGAATAAACAATAGAAGGAACAAACTCGAGGATATTAAAGATATGGGATAAGCAAATGTAAAATATACAAGCAATTGAAGAGAAGATCTCTTTCAGTTTGCAGCAAAGGGAAATCTGCCCCTTAGAATTTACTGGGACGTAAGGTGATGTCTGAAAAGTGGAATGATGGTTGTTGAAGATAGCAGTTATACAAATACTCCAGCTCCTTTCACTCTTCTTCATGATCCCATTTTCCAAACCTTTTCTCTGTCTGCTTACCTGGTGGTTCTATTTCTCTGCATCTGTCTTGAAAGTGGACACTGCCACTGAACTGACTTACACACCAAAGACTTGACCGCCACTGAGCTTGGAGGCATTTTGAATCATTATAGCAGATAAATCAGGGGGAGTGGGTAAAAACTTGGGCATTTTTTAATATCAATTTTGTGTCTTGTATATTAAAATTATATTCAAATATATTGTACATCTGCTTCCCTTTGATGAGTGTTTTTATCTCATCTGCTGTTAGCCCTCTGGTCTGGAACTGATTAGCGAAAATTGGTGGGGCCATCTGGAAACATGAGCAACTTGAGTTTCTGTCTGATTTCTAATGCACGTTTTGACTGGTGCTAATTATATGGTCTATTTCATTATTTATTTTTCTGGCTGCTTATTGTTGGAAAAGAAAATACTAATCTAAAATGAATTGTTTTCAAAGGCTTTGGATCTGGCTGCCCTCTCCACAGAGCATTCTCAGTACAAGGACTGGTGGTGGAAAGTACAGATTGGAAAATGTTACTACAGGTAAATTTCATTATTTGTGAAGGGCATAGAAGTGGCCATGTATTTTAGGGTCTCAAATCTGATACTTGTTTTCGGTTAGATTTTCTCATGAAGAAGTGAGAGCTATGTCTTTGGCTTACTTGATAAAGAGTTTACTTAACAATCACAGGGTAGCAATAAGAATGGATACCCTTAGAATAACAAAACTTTTGAGCTGCAAGGGGGAAGCTTTGAGACCATCAGGCCCAACCTCCCCTTTTCAGATGAGGAAACTGAGGCCAAGAGAGTGGCTGTAATTTACATCAGGAGCTAGTGAGTAACAGACCTGGGACTAGAACCAAGTCTGCTGATTTTTAGTTCTGTTTTCTTGGTAATCAAATCTTTTTATTTACACTGATGCCTCACATCTGTAAAATACTTCACAGTTTAGAGATATGCTGTTCATACATTATAACATCTCACTTAAGTCTCACAGCACCTTGAAGGTAGTGGCTATTGTTAGTCCTTTTCCCAGATGAGAAAAATTGAGTCTCACAAAAGTAAAGTGATTTGTCCAAATTCATGTAACTAGTAAGTCACAGAACAAGAATTTAAGCTCATTTTCTGATGTCAGTTCTGTTAGTTTCCACAATTCCATATTCTTTCTCTAGGACCTGAGTATTCTTATATTCTCTTATGTTTAAATGTATTTTAAAGAAAATTAACTGAGAGAGCAAAAGAATCATAATTAATTTTATGAATATTTACATAGCAACTAGTAAATAAGACCTGAAACTTGTTGCTGATATTGAAATGCACATAGAACATTTGGAAAAATAGAAACAAATGAGCAATTCTATTTTATAAAGGTAAATGTCTTTTATTATTAAAAATAAGGTAGACTTCAGTTACTATGAGCATACTTCAATATTTATAAGTTCAATGTTTATAAGCACTGTGAGAAAAAAGAAGACTATAAATGGGACAAAAAGCACGTTTATTGTTCTGCTATTGAAATTAAGACTACTTTGCATTTAGATATTTCACTTAGAACTCTAAAGTGTTTTTTCCTGCTGCTAGATGGAGAAAGCATTTTCTGCTAAAGGGTAATTTTAGACCATTATATCATTAAACCCTTATGAATGTAATTCCTGGAGACAATCTTGAAATCTTGAGCTGCCAAGCAAAACCTTCAGAAATACTTAATAATTAAAGGAAAGCAAAACTCTGATTCTTTTTGCCATCTATATATGATGACATTTAAATGAGTATACCTTGTTATATTAAATTATCCTTCTTTTCTATTCTTTAATACCTGCCCATCTTTATGATATTTATACATTCATTAATTCACTCAGTAAAATATTTAATGGGCAGCTAGTCTGCCAGGAACTGAGAGTACAAAGATTAGATTGTTCCTTCTTTCAAATGGTTTACAATATAATGGAAGAGAGAGGACAGTAAATAATTACAGGTTGAGTATTTCTTATCTGAAATGCTGGGGACTAGAAGTATTTCAGGTTTTGCTTTTCTTCAGATTTTGGAATATTTGAATATACATAATGAGATATCTTGGGGATGGAACCCAAATTTAAAAATGAAATTCCTATATGTTTCATATAAACCTTATACACATAGCCTGAAGGTAATTTTGTACAATATTTTATTTTATTTTTTAGAGATGGGGTCTTGCTCTGTCTTCCAGGCTGGAGTGTAGTTGTATGATCACGGCTCACTGTAGCCTCAATCTCCTGGGCTCAAGCCATCCTCCTGCTTCAGTCTCCTAAGTAGCTGGGATTACAGGCACATGCCACCATGCCCAGCTAATTTTTAAAAACTGTCTCTTTTATAGAGACAGGTTCTTGCTGTGTTGCTGAAGGCAGTCTTGAACTCCTGGCCTCATGCCATTCTTCCACCTTGGCATCGTAAGGTGCTAGGATTATAGGTATGAGCCACTGCATCTAGCAATACTCCTATTATTATGTCCTTTTCAATGAAACCAAACTCCTTGGCATTCCCCTAACATGCTGAGTAATTTTCTGCCTATGTACTTACCTTCATGATTTAATTTTATTTTGGAAATGTCCCTCTTCCCCCCATATCTAGCTGTTGAAATCTTGCCTGTTCACTATCTTCCTGAACCTCCTCTGTCCTCTCAAAGCACTTTTTTCCTCATTGGCCATAATATGATTAAATTTATTTGTGAGCATGTTTTGTTTCATTCTTTGATCATCATTGCTTTAAGGACATAGTTATTATCTTCTTCATTTTTCATCTCCTTACCATCATGAAATGAGCATATAGTTTATATGACACTTTACAATTTTGTTAAATTAAGTTGGAGAGAAAAAGTTGACAGCTGGACTCTGACTCTTTGATATTGGCCTGTGTTGTGAACTTGACATTTTATTCCTTGACTTTCTTTGAACATGGCATGCTCCATTTTCTTTGCACAAAAATTCATGTGATAGATTCCTTTTTGATAGTATTAGATGAAGTTATCTCTTAAGAATGTAGTAATAAAAAACATGTTTCTTTGGCTTTCATGTAGCTCAATATCTCTGGTTATATTTTTATTTTTAAAATTTGTCCATCTCCATTGTTTTTAAAATAATCTATTTCTGTTTTCATATTCTTGTGTTATATGTATCTTTTTATTGTAATCTCTTTTAAATCATTTTTGGAAAGAGACAAGTTAGTTAAAAATACACAGACTGTCATGGATAATTTAAATTCACGGAATTTAGTGACTGTATTTCAGTCATGCATTTGGGACTTGCATGCATGGTTGGGCACAGTGGCTCATGACTGTATACAATCCCAGCACTTTGGGAGGCTGAAGTGGGAGGATGGCTTGAGCCTAGGAGTTTGCAGGCAGTCTTGGCAATAAGGTGAGACCCTGTCTTTACCAAAATACAGTACAAAAATTAGCTGGGCATGGTGGTGCACGTCTGTAATCCCAGCTACGTGGGAGGCTGAGGCAGAGGGTTGCTTGAGCCCGGGAGGGCAAGACTGCAGTGAGCTGTAATTCCACCATTGCACTCCAGCCTGGGCGATAGAGATCCTATCTCAAAAGAAATAAAAAGACTTGCATGTTTAGTTGATGTTATGTACATAACTATGTTGTTTTTCAGAACTTTAGAGTTCTTTGATAACCTTTTATAAATACGCCCTGTGAAATTGTGGGACCTTTGAAGAGGCCGGGGCTTCTGCCATGTCACACATCTTCTAACTTTAGCCTTTAACCACTTTAATCCCAAGGCTTCCAATAGCTATTTGGGCATCAGCCACACCAGTGCTTAAGGTTTAGGTTATGAAAAATGAGTAAAGCTCTTCTTTCAAGGCTTTAAATGAAAGTAGCACAACAGAGCATACTGTATTATCATTTTGATTTTATTTCACAAAGTAAAACATTATCATATCTGAGTAGCTCTCAGATGGCTAAGAATGAGTGGTTATGAGTAAGCCTAGCAGGTCTATTAAGGACAAGCTGTGTGTTTTAATGATTGATTTAGTGGCAACAAATTCTTTCCTGGGTATAACAGGCAGGCACTATGTACATCAGGACAGTCATATTTCAGCAAGGAGCAAATCTCAGATTCATAGACGAGGACAATCAGATATCTAATAAGGGAAAACAAGACTTCTAGAATAATAAAATGGTATAACTATATTACCCAAGTGCTAATTATTACTTACATTAAAATAGCTTTTAAAGATAGCTTTTTAAAATGTGCTTTTATCTCAGAGCAGAAGATGTTTTCAAATAAATGTCATCCTTCAGCTCTTCCAGTAATATGGAGACTCTAAGCATTTATTCAGGTCACTTGCCATATGTCCAGCTGATCATAAGCTCTTTGGGTGGTGAACTGATGTGACCTGGCTTACTAGCAGCTATTATCTTAGTCCTGCTGTGACTAGGCTTCAGACAGACTCTTTAGATACCATTTGGGGGTTAGAAGCCACTGAATATGGGAGATAGGCAACTTATTGCTAAGCTGTATAAATAAAAATGTTAATTTATGTGTATGTGCAACATTACCTTCTTTGGCACATGCTTCATCTTATAATTTGTCTTATTCATCCTCAGGGTATGATGTAGTGTTTAAGTTGAATGTCTAATTCTTAAAATTGCCATTTGTAGGTTAGGAATGTATCGTGAAGCAGAAAAACAGTTTAAATCAGCCCTGAAACAGCAGGAAATGGTAGATACATTTCTGTACTTGGCAAAAGTAAGTAAATCTTAATTTGACTGAAATCTGTCTTCTCAGAATAAATGTTTAAATTCTGGCCATTGCATGGGGAGAGTAAACAGTTTCTTTAGGAATATTTGACAAGTTTCTATGTTTAGATTTAACTTGTTTTTCTTTAGAGCAAGGGAAAAAATGAGAACATATGGAGGGCAACTGTCTCATAAGAAATTGATTTACGTGAAAAATAAGAAGACCCCTTTGAAAGATTGCCCATTAGGACAGGAGAAAACACCATAGGCTCACTACCCGCATAGGTAACAGGCCCCAGTGAGGCCTTATTTTCTGCGATACATTTGTCTTCCACCTGAGCAGGTAGTAGACAACAGGGACTGTGTTTATGTAGGTTCTTAGTTACTCAGCTGAGGCATAATAATAAAAATAATACTTCTCCTTTATTGATCACCTACTCAGTGTAAAACATTTTATCATGTTCCTTATATATGCAGTTTAATTTAACCCTCAAAGGTGAGTTTTATCATTTCCTTTGTATTCTTAAGGAAAATTAAATTTAAAGAGGGTAAGTTTTTCAGAGTCACTTGGTGGTTAGGAGTTAGCATTCAAATCCAGGTCTTTCTGATTCCAGACCTAGTCACTGCTGCAGTGCCATCTGCAGCCACAATAGAAATGAGGGGCCACCTAGAATTTCCTCCCCTCCCCTCTCCTCCTCCTTTTCTTTTCTTTTTTTTTTTTTTTTAAGGAGTCTTGCTCTGTTGCCTAGGCTGGAGTGCAGTGGCACGATCTTAGGCCTCTACAACCTCTGCCTCCCGGATTCAAGCGATTCTCCTGCCTCCGCCTCCCAAGTAGTTGAGATTATCAGCTGGTGGTGCACACCACCACGCCTGGCTAATTTTTGTAATTTTAGTGGAGATGGGGTTTTTACCATGTTGGCCAAGCTGGTCTCGAACTGCTAGCCTCAAGTGATCTACCTGCCTCGGTCTCCCGAAGTGCTGGAATTACAGGTGGGAACCACCATGCCCAGCCAGAATTTTTAATAGTGGGGTAAAGTTACTTCTTGACCCTTACCAACGCTATTTTGAAAGAAAAACGTAAGTGGTGGTCATGACATGATTTTGTATCTTTTGGAGTTTTTAAATTTAAAAATGTGGTAAAGGAGATTCAAAAGAAGATAAGATATAAAAGGAAGTGCTACTAGTTCCTAAATATGGGAATAAAAATTAACATATGAAAAAGAAGCAAGATGAAAGTTATATAAATTTACTGTGCTAGTCTTAGTCTGTTTTAATGACTTTCAAAAATATTTGAAACTATCTGGCATCTAACTTTATCTTTTATATGTGATATATTCAACTTAAACAATTTTTTTTTTGAGTCAGGGTCTTACTCTGTCACCTAGGCTGGAGTGCAGTGGCATTATCATGGCTCACTGCAGCCTTGACTTCCCAGGCTCAGGTGATCTTCCCATCTCAGCCTCCTGAGTAGCTGGGACTACAGGCCACAACGCCTGGATAATTTTTTTTGTTGTCATTTTGGTAGAGATGGAATGTTGCTGTGTTGTACAGGCTGGTCTTGAACTCCTGGCCTCAAGTGATCCTCTGACCTCAGCCTCCCAAAGTGCTGAGATTACAGATGTGAGCCACCACACCCGGCTGAAAATTCTTTACTGTAATATCTAGGAGATAGTTTGTTACTAATCAATAATTATAAACATCATAACAAAAATTACTATTTTAAGAACTTGCACTTTTATTGAAATGTATCTTGGTTTTAGGTTTATGTCTCATTGGATCAACCTGTGACTGCTTTAAATCTTTTCAAACAAGGCTTAGATAAGTTTCCAGGAGAAGTAACTCTGCTCTGTGGAATTGCAAGAATCTATGAGGTAATTCATGTTATTATTATTATTTTTATTGATATACAATAGTTATACATATTTTTGTGGTACATGTGATATTTTAATTCCTGAATACAATGTGTAATGATCAAATCAGTGTAATTGAGTTATTTGTCACCTCAAACATTTCTTTGTGTTGGAAAGATTACAATTCTTCTTTTCTAGCTATTTTGAAATATATAATAAATTACTGTTAACCTAATTTCTCTACTGTACTATCAAATAGTAGAACTTAGTCTTTCTATCTAAATATTTTTATATCCCTTAACCAGCTACTGTCATCCCCATACCCTCACATTCTTCCTTGCCTCTAGTAACCATAATTTTATTCTTTACCTCCATGAGATCTACTTTTTTAGCTCCTGCATGAGTGAGAACATGTGGTACTTTTCTTTCTGTGTCTGGCTTATTTCACTTAACATAATGACTTCCAATTCCATTCATGTTCCTGCAAATGACAGGATTTCATCCTTTTTTATGGCTCAGTGTGACTTTATTGTGTCTGTATACCACATTTTCTTCACCCATTCATCCATTGATAGACACTCAGGTTGATTCCATATCTTGGCTATTGTGAATAGTGCTGCAGTAAACATGGGATATCTCTTTGATATACAGATTTTCTTTCTTTTGGATATATAATCAGCAGTGGGATTGCTGGATCATATGGTAGGTCTATTTTGAGATTTTTTGTGGAACCTCCATACCATTTTCCATAATGGCTATACTACTTTGCATTCCCATTCAACAGTGTATGAGCATTTATACCCTTGCCTTCAAATCCTTGCCAGCATTTGTTATATTTTGCCTTTTTGATGATAGCCATTCTAACTGGGGCGAGATCATATGTCATCACAGTTTTGATTTACATTTTCCTGATGATTAGTGATATTGAGCATGTTTTCATATACCTGTTGGCCATTTGTATGTCCTCTTTTGAGAAATGTCTATTCAAGTCTTATGTTCGTATTTAAATTGGATTGTTTGTTTTTTTGTTGAGTTATTTTAGTTTCTTACATATTCTGATAATTAATCCCTTCTTAGATGATGAATTAGATGATTCTTGCATTGCCATAGAGAAAGAAATACCTGAGACTAGGTAATTTATAAAGAAAAGAGGTTTAGTTTAGGCAGGGTGACTCATGCCTGTAATCCCAACACTTTGGGAGGCTAAGGTGGGCAGATGACCTGATGTTGGGAGTTTGAGACCAGCCTAGCCAACATGGTAAAACCCCATCTCTACTAAAAATACAAAAATTAGCCAGGTGTGGTGGCGGGCACCTGTAATCCCAGCTACTCAGGAGGCTGAGGCAGGAGAATCACTTGAGCCTGGAAAGCAGAGGTTGCAGTGAGCTGAGATCGTGCCATTGCATTCCAGCCTGGATGACAAGAGTGAAACTCCATCTCAGAGAAAAATAAAAGGAAAAAGAAAAGAGGTTTGATTTGCCCACAGTTCTGCAGACTGTACAGGAAGCATGGTGCTGGCATTGGCTTGGATTCTGGAGAGGCCTCAGGGAGCTTTTACTCATGGCAGAAGGTAAAGGGGAACAGGCACATCACATGGTAAAAACAGGAACAAGTGAGAGAGCAAGGGGGAAGGTGCCACACACTTTTAATGACCAGATTTTAGGAGAACGCACTATTGCAAAGATAGCACCAAGCTATGTGGGATCTGCCCGAACACCAGGTCCCACCTCTAGCACTGGGGATTGCGATTCAGCATGAGATCTGGGTGGGAAGAAATATGCAAAGTATACCAGATGGATAACTTGTAAATATTTCTCCCATTCTATAGGTTTCTCTTTACTCTGTTGATTGTTTCCTTTGCTATGCAGAAGGTTTTTATCTTGACAGAATCCCATTTGTCTATTTTTGCTTTTATTGCCTGTGGTTCTATGGTCTTACCCCAAAAAATATTTTGCCTGAAACAGTATCTTATAGTGTTTCCCCATTTTTTTTCTAGTAGTTTCATAGTTTTGGGTCTTGCATTTAAGTCCTTAATCCATTTTGCATTGATTTCTGTATATGATGAAAGATGGGGATCCAGTTTTATTTTTCTGCATATGGGTATCCAGTTTTCCCAGCACTATTTATTAAAGAGACTGCCTGATATGATTTAGATTCGTGTCGCCACCCAAATCTAATGTTGAATTGTAATCCCCAGTGTTGGAAGAGGGGCCTGGTGGGAGGTGATTGGATTATGGGAGCAGATTTCTCCCTTGTTGTTCTCCTGATTGTGAGTGAGTTCTCACAAAATCTGGTTGTTTAAAAGTATGTAGCACCTATTCCTGCTCTCTTCCTCCTACTCCTGCCATGTAAGATGTGCCTGCTTCCCCTTCTTTGCCATGATTGTGAGTTTCCTGAGGCCTCCCCACCCAGGCTTCCTGTATAGCCTGCAGAACCATGAGCCAATTAAATTTCTTTTCTTTATACATTAGCCAGTTTCAGGTATTTCTTTATAGCAGTGCAAGAATGGATTAATACACTGTCCTTTCCCCAGTGTATGGTCTTGGCACTTTTGTGGAAAATGGCTGTAAGTGTGCATGGATTTATTTCTGGGTTCACTTCTGTCTCATTGGTATATGTATCTGTTTTTATGCCAGTAGCATGCTGTTTTGGTTACTATAGCTTTGTAGTGTAATTTGAAATCAGGTAGTGTGATGCCTCTAGCTTTGTTCTTTTTGCTTAGTATTGCTTTAGTTATTTGGGATATTTTGTGGTTCCATATATGTCTTAGGATTTTTTTTTTCTATTTCTGTAAGGAATGTCATTGGTATTTTGGTAGGGATTGCCATATTATATAAAAAGTTGATGTAAAATTGAGGTTATATGCTACTTAAAGAAGCTCATAGTCCTTTGCGGTCCTAGTAAGGAGAACAGTTTGTAAAATTATGATTGTTGGCCTGTGGTTTAGTAAAATATGAGATTTTAGTTTATGCATTTAGGTAAACTAAGTTTTTATTATGAAGCATTTCAGATATACAGAAAAGTATAGAGAATGGTATAAGATAGGGATTTGAATTATTTCCCTGTATGGTTAGCCTGTTGTCCTAGCACCTTTATTAATTCTTTCTCAAGGACATCAGTATGTAATGTAATGTCAGTATCAATTTTTGTCCATTTGTGGTAGACACATTTGGGGCTTTCTGTCTGGTTCCATTGGACTGTTTGTCTATTCTTATACCAATGTTATACCGCCTTAATTACTATAGCTTTATAATACTTACTATCTGGTAGGGTTCTTCTTCATCAGGAGTGTCTTGGCTATTTTGGACTTCTGCTTATGCCCCCATGTCCAGCTAATTTTTTTATTTTTTTGCAGAAATGGGATCTTGCTTTGCTGATCAGGCTGGTCTCAAACCACTGGCTTCATGCTTATACATTTTAGAGTCATGTTGTCAAATTCCATGAAAAGTCCCATCGAGATATCTTCCCTGCTGTCTAATTACTATAGTTTTACAATAATTCATGATAACAGGTTGGGGAAATTCTATTACCTTGTACTTCTTCTTCACAGTTGGTTTTCCTGACCCTTTGCCCTTCCATATTGATTGTAGGATTGGCTTATCAAGAACCATAAAATCTCAGCAGGCATACTGATTGGAATTACATTGAGTATGTGAATGATGAGGAGTGGGTAGGTGGGTTGCCTTTCTTCTCATTCTCAATCATTAAACAACTCTCCATTTACCTAGATCTTTTTTTTTTTTTTTGGTTCTTCAGTGAATATTTTGTAATTATCTTCAGAAAGATGGTGTGTTGGGGATTTCCCAAACCACGCCGAGATTCAGTGATATACTGGGACTCACAGGACTCAGCAGGCAGTTGTACTCACTGCTATGATTTATTTCAGCCAAGGGATACAAAGTAAAATTAGTGAAAGGAAATAGCTCTTGGGGCAAAGTTCAGAGGAAACCAGTTACAAGCTTCCAAGAGCTCCCTCCCAGTGGAGTCACACAGGACACAATTCTAATTGTGTAACAACTCATGAGAAGTGATGTCTACCAGGGAAGCTCATTGGAGACTCTGTATCCATGATTACTATTGGGTGCTGGTCATATAATCACACACTATTTATCACATAGCAAAGACTCCAAGAAGTAAACAGGCATTCAGCACAAACCACACTGTTTATACAAATAGGTTAGGTATAGCAAGCTACTCATCATTTCGAGAAAGTTTCATATAAATATAGAGAATGAGCCAAATTCCCAGATACAATTCTTTCTAAGAATAGTTGTCTCAGGCCTGCTATATTAACTTTTTTCTATGCAGATGTATTTCTAGGTATAACTATGAATGGTATCCTTATTTTTTTCTCTTGTATTTTCTATTTGATCGTTTCTGGTGGATAGGAATATATTACTTTTTAAAAGTTTTTTTGATACTAACAACTCTTTAAATTTTAAGATCTTGTTCATAGATCTTCTTGGATAGTCTAAGTAAATAAAACAATCATCATTTGCAAATACAAGTGGTTTCATCTCCTCCTTTCAATTATTTTGCCACTTTTAAAAAGATATCTTGGCTGGGTGTGATGGCTCACACCTGTAATCCCAGCACTTTGGGAGGCTGAGGCGGGCGGATCATGAGGTTAGGAGATCGAGACCATCCTGGCCAACATGGTGAAACCCCTTCTCTACTAAATATATTTTTAAAAAATTAGCTGGGCGTGGTGGCACATGCCTGTAGTCCCAGCTACTCGGGAGGCTGAGGCAGGAGAATTGCTTGAACCCATGAGGCGGAGTTTGCAGTGAGCCGAGATCGCACCACTGCACTACATCCTGGGCTGGGTGACAGTATGAGACTTTGTCTCAAAAAAAAAAAAAAATGATATCTTATTGCTTAGGACTTACAATATAATATTGAACAGAAACATCTCTGTTTTCTTGAAGTTCCTTAAAAATGCTAGGTATGATATTTTGAAATCATTTTGTTAGAGAAGAATGGAATATATTAATAGTTGCTCTAGCTAGGTGATACTGTAT